AATCAAATGAGAGACTTGTCATGATAAATAATTAAAAAAGATTTTTCAAATAAATACATGAATAAAATTTTTGTAATATATTTTTTATACCAATAAAACCAATTATCTGTCAACTAATTTCATACAATAACTTAAAATTTTAAAAATTAAGATTTTATTCAGCAAGAGTGAAATTATTTTGCGTCAAAATTTATAAAAAAGAAAAAAAATCTTTTAAAAATAAATCGAAATGGTATGACCACTTTATGCAAAATTACTATAAATTACATCACCAATGATTACTTTTCGATAGACTATGTAATAGTTATCATTATGCGAAAATCAATATTAGAGAAGCATCTCATTAAATATTAAAAAAAGTAACTATTAAAAAGAAAAAAGAAAATTAAAAGAAAGAAAGAGAGAAAGAGAGAAAGAGAGAAGGGGGAAATAAGAAACTATTTGACTGTGTTTATTTCTATAAAAGTGCTATAAATAATTGGTTTGATAATTATTATCTCTGATATTTATTCCAAAAATATAAAGATAAATATTGTGTGTGTGTTTTATACAGGTGTATGCTGCATATTATAAATAAACTACTTGTTTTTATTGAAAGTAGAATTGTTATAAAAGCTAACTTTATTAGAGAACAAAAGAGAAGTATGAATACATTTTACAATATAAATATTTTGATAAATGTACCAATGAGGGAGTTTATTTTGAATGACATATGTATATTGTTAATGATCCTGTAATCTTCAAAAGGTTTTAATCATCGTTCATTATTTATTAGAAAGTTATTATACATATATTAACAAATAATAAAGTTTTTAATGCAAAGCAGAATTCAAATAAAAACGACAACAAAAAGTTCAATGTAGAATACTATTTTTATGCAAATATTTCTCATTTATATTACATTGTATATGTATATGAACAATAAAAACTGTAAGTTCCAAAATATTAAAAATAGAAAAATAAATTATGGCCTTAACATACATGTTATTATGGTGATGATTCTGAGTAACTCGTACAAATTTTAATTCATTATTTATTAAAAAATTATTTATTGCCAAAAATTTATTTATTAATCAAAAACTTTGTTATGTAGATAAATGTTAAATGTGATAACCAAAAGTGAAATAAAAAAATAAAAGTTGACCAAAAATTTTAAATAAAAAATTTCAATTATTTAAATTAATTTAAGAAATTTTTCTAATCAAAATAAAGTAATACAATTATTTTTATTACAAAATATATATATATATAAATAAAAGAAGAATACATATACATGTGCTATAAATAATTATTAGAGTTTAACAAGGCTTTGTAATATAAATATAAATTTAACGTATAAGACAGGCAATAAGAGCCAAATCGCGGATGACAATGCGTTATCCTAACGAAACTGAACTATTTTTTCGTTAGAATTAAATACCGGTGCACAAGGCACCAAATTTTACTTGGACACGGCCAAGATTTTAAAATATGAAATAATCTCATATTTGAGATTTAATTTCAATACCCCTTTAACCCCCTACGGAAATAAATGAATGCAAGAGAAAAATATAGATCCGAAAGTCGCTGAATCGGGAATCGAACCCGAGACCTTTCGCTTGCCGGGCGACTGCTCTTCCAATTGAGCTATTCAGATCCCCTCGATTCTATACTTTTCTCTGTTATATATATTAATGTTGGTAAACAAACGCCTTTAAGCCAGCGTGTATAAATTAAGAGTTTAACAAGGCTCTGTAATATAAATATAAATTTAACGTATAAGAAAAATAGTTTAGTTTCGTTAGGATAACGCATTGTCATCCGCGATTTGGCTCTTATTGCCTGTCTTATACGTTTTTATATTTATATTACAGAGCCTTGTTAAACTCTTAATTTATACACGCTGGCTTAAAGGCGTTTGTTTACCAACATTAATATATATAACAGAGAAAAGTATAGAATCGAGGGATCTGAATAGCTCAGTTGGAAGAGCAGTCGCCCGGCAAGCGAAAGGTCTCGGGTTCGATTCCCGATTCAGCGACTTTCGGATCTATATTTTTCTCTTACATTCATTTATTTCCGTAGGGGGTTAAAGGGCTATTGAAATTAAATCTCAAATATGAGATTATTTCATATTTTAAAATCTTGGCCGTGTCCAAGTAAAATTTGGTGCCTTGTGCACCGGTATTTAATTCTAACGAAAAATAGTTTAGTTTCGTTAGGATAACGCATTGTCATCCGCGATTTGGCTCTTATTGCCTGTCTTATACACATTTTTCAGTCGAAGAAAAGCTGGGCTGATTGGAAAGAGAAACATTCTCATAGCCTCCTCTCCTTTACCATCTTTCATTCTTTTGAAATTTCATTTCATTGCAAGTTAAACTATTTCCACTTTTATTTGTCGGAGCTTCAAAATTAGAACAAGTGCTCTCGTGGCGCTGACGTGTTTACTGATGACTGTGTACACTATTGGTATCGTTTGATTTTCATACAAATCACGAAAGTAAAAAATTAATAATTTTTTGGGGAGAATAGTTTTCGAACAATAAAAACGATAAAATATACATCTATATGAAAAAGAGGCTGATATAGTATTGGAGATAGCAGAAAGGGAACGAATGTATATTTCCAGAACAAATATTTACGCAAAATAGGCGTATAAAAGAATATGTTTTTTGTTTGATTTGCGACTGTATTTTTCTTTCCGATTCAACAGTTCTCTGTTCTTCCTCTCTCACTCTTGCCGCCATCACTCAAGCAAGCACCCAACCACTCTCGACTAGCTCTTCCCTTCTTTCGCGCGTTTCCTCTCACGGATCCTCTGTACTCACGTTTACTTTGAAGCGGACAGAAAGTGAAGAGAAGGGAAAATTCTATGGGCATAAATTATATTTTGATGTATAAAAAATATATATATATATATATATACACATATACATATATATAAACAGTGAATGATATTTTATACATTGAGTCGATGTTTTGCGAATTTTTGAACACTTTTTCTTACATGTTAAAAAATGTAATGGAATTAAATTGTTTTGTGTTATTTTTTTACTTGATTTTTTACTTCAAACTTATCCTTGTTCTGATGTCTTCATTCATATCAGGTTAAAACACACTATCTTAGACAGAAGATTTCTATTTACTGACCTTTTTTTTTATCAATATTTGACCTTGAGTGACGTCGTTCAGGACAAGGGGGATTACCTTACATTTTTAAAATAAAATCACTTTTTACATCAAAAATTGACAAAAGTAGATAGTTTACTAAACGTTTTATACTTTAATTTTATATTTTATATAATCTTATTTACATAAACTATATGAAGTTCATTTTTTGATATTTTACTTTAATATTTTTATACATAAAATAATAAGAGAAATTAATTGATGCAAAGGAAACAGTTATTTTTAAGAAAAAATATGTAGCTGTTAAGTGCAAAATACATACTGTGTTTTCTTTACATCAATTGATTCTTCTCATGTTTTGTACAATACGTTAAATTTATAAATAATTATGTTACAATTCTTTATTTTTTAGTTATTTTCATAAATCTTTTTACTCGATTTAATGAGAAAAAATATTATAAGCCTATATTATAAGCTTTTTAAACTTTTTTAAATACTTTTATATACAGAGTATTTTGATCACAAATAAATATTTTTAATTAAAATGAGGTCAAGGAAATATTTACTGGCACTTTTATGATTGAGACATACAAATTGTTTGACATTCAAAAGTGTATGAGGAATAGATTCTTAAATTTAAAATTACCTTTGTTTTTTAAACCAAATAATATGTTTTTTACATAAACAAATTATCTTAATATTGCATTTAGATAGAAAGTGAATAATTTACAAGATATTTTATATATAATTAATTTTTGCATATTAAAAAATCAAATAAAATTCTTGCAAAAATTTTCTTTTATTAAGATAATTAATGGATATTCTCTTATATAAGAGTAAAAATACATATAAGTGCACAAAATATATCATTGTAAAATATACATTTTTAAATATATTTTGTATATATTTATTAGTTCACGCACATCTCTTCTTATTTTGTTTCTAAAAATATAAAAATATATTTACAGAAAGATCTAAAATATTTTACAAAATATATATTTTATGTCATAAAATATTGAAATAAATTACAAAAGATATCGTATAAAAAAATTATTATTTATCTTAATATTTATATTATAAAATAAATTAAAGAGAAAATTGATTTATGTACACATAAAACTTACAATTTTTAAAAAATATAGATAAATTTGGAAATCTAAAAAACTATTTTATTTAGAAAAAATGTTGGATATATTAGAAATAAAATTGATTTACATTAAAATTATTAAGAAACAAATTAACAATATCTCAATATTTCATCCCTCCTCTTTCTCCCTCTCTTTCCCGTCCTCTCTTTTTTTGTCTTCCTTTCTCTGCTTCTTTTTTCTCCCTCCTTTTATTTCTCTCTCCCTCTTCTTCCTCTTTCTATCTTTCTCTTTTCTCTTCCTTTCTTCCCTTCCCTCTCGTCAAAAATATTCACTTGTAATAGTTTACGCAAATCATCCTGTGCAAATATATTTTATACAAAATACAAAATTTTAATAAAATTAGATTTAGGCCGGTCATAGTCAGGTTTTATATTTAAAATCGTCTTAAGTTTATCTTCAGATGCTGTACGGATCATTTCATTGGCTACAGAGTATCTGAAGATAAACTTAAGATGGTCTTAAATATAAGACCAATATGAATACCGATCTTTAAACTTTAAAAGAAGCATTATGGTCGTCGAATAAAAAAATTGACATTCAACTATAAGCTTTGTTTACTAGCCAGCAAATCAATGGCAGGGGTAAATAGATATAGTAGTAGCAATCGAAAAGAAGAACAAAGGCTATGGTTCGAAGAAACGATTTTTTGTAGAATATTATATAATAATAAGCGAATAAAAGAAGAAATAAAATAAAAATGGAACTTGAGCATTTGCGTTAGCTCCGAATCGTTCGTCTTACCTTCGCTGTTTTCATCCTCGGTTGACTTGGCCGATTGCAGCTTCGCGCTCGGTTGCTTCGCTGCAATCAGAATTTGCAGCTTGGGCACCGCTCATTTTTTTCACATATTTCTCATTATAACCTTTCTTATTTATATTCTTTCTCTCTTTCTCTCGCTCTGTCTTCAATGTTCATTTTCTCGCTCGACCGATCGTGACGATTCTGCTCATTGATTGATTGTGCAATCCTAATCTCAAGGTCAATCGCAAAAATTTCTGAACTACGTTAGGTATTATGTATATACAGGGTGGAGTTAAATAAAGATATACGAAACATACCATCTGATGCAGGGCAACAAATTAAATCGAAAAGTCCTAAGTTACTTTTTAATTTGAGCTTTATTTTTGCTATAAATTGTTAAAATTTGCCAATTAGCACATGGCTACAATTTAGACGCTGCCTTAGTAAACCTTAGTACGCCCACTAAGGTGGCGCCTAAGTTGTAGCCATACGCTAATTGGCAAATTTTAACAATTTATAGCGCCAAAAATAAAGCTCAGATTAAAAAATGACTCAAGACTTTTCAATTTAGTTTGTCGTCCTGCATCTGATAGTATGCGTCGTATACCTTCGTTTAGTTACACCCTGTATACGTAAAAGAGAGTTGAAATTTTATTTCTCATCAGATATATTAAATTCTACGTTCAAATATATTGTACCACGAAATATCGATAAGGAACTGAAGTAATAACAATGAAAATAATGATTTATTTCTCATTGCTCAATAAATAAAAAGGAAAGATTAGATCATCGTTTTCTCTACATAATAATCGTATATGATATTTCTTCTAAATCTTCAGTAGTATCGTGAATATACATATCACAATATAAGAGAAAAAGATATATAATATATAACATTTGGGAATAATCAATTTTTTATCTGGCTCATAAAAATTACATTTTTACAATTTTTTACAATCAATTATTATTTATATACATATTGAATTATCGTTTTATGTTATAATTAAATAAATCATAATTCTGTCTTTTTTAAAATTTTATATACACGTGAAAGTCAAACAGCACAACACCACTAGCGATAGTATTAATAAGTTGAAGTCTATCAACTTGCGTTGAAAAAAAGAAAAACAAAACAGGAGAAAATGCCCGCAAATGAAGATTACATGGATAAGGATAATGGAGTTTGATTGCCCATGATCTATATTGGGTTTATTTTTTTATATTCTATATTTTTCATAAAAAAACAAGCACCATTAACAAAATGGAAAAATCAACGGCGCGAAATTTATTGCAGTCAAATTGCCTTATGTAAACGAGATCGCAAGAAGATCGTGTAAGAGATTGTGAATAATTGAGCGACAAAACTAGCTAAGAAATCAGTGAACAGCAAAATAGGATCTAACATCGTATGTCTATATATTAATTATAATAATCGCAGTTATTGGCCCTTTATATTAACTTTTTGCGACACAAATCTTTTTAAACATATTTTATTGAAACTTAACTTGTATAGAGATTTTTGAAATCACTGATTACAAATTTGAAATCAAAATTAGAAACCATACAGATTTATTGAAATTTCGACCTAACTGGCCAGTACAATTTAATTAGAAACACTACGTTTCGACCCTTAGGTACGGGTCCTTTTCAAGTGTAACTGCACAATAAAAATATACAATGATTAAGATATGAAACAATAATTTACAAAGTTGTTAACGAAGAACTTTAAAATAATATAAAAATAATGTAATGTACCTTTCAAGATGTTGATTCGACAGCAGTAAAATTACTAATGTTAAACCGGAGACAAGTAAATCAATTAAAGTCAAACGTTAAAAACACACTCAAAATTAGAAATCTAATATAGAAAATCCAATAGGTAAGACGATCAAAATTTATAAACAAATTGACTGCTGGTAAATAACTGAAATTTTATACATAAGAATTTTTCAAGAGTTTTTAATTTTAAATTTGCTGTCAAAATTTGAAAGTATAAAATGTGATAAAAAAACTATGATAGAAAAATAGAAAAAATATATTATACAAAACAATTATAAATTATAAAAACAAGGAAAAACTGTAGAAATACGGGATGTCGCAGAAGGCTAATAGATATATTACATCAATATATACATCATATTAATGGATATGATATAGTATTATAAATTATATTATTTGCTTTATTTGTATCTTTTCTATAATATTCTTCACATAAATCATATATAGTTAATAATATAAATATAATAATAATAATAAATAAATAATAATATAATAATATAAATTATATAAAGCTAAAATATTAACGTTTTATTTTCTATTTAACTAAATTAAATTACAGACTTCTAGTTAAATTATTTGCTTTTTGTTATGTAGAAGATAAATCTTAATTTTTATATTCATTATTATTTGTTATTATTCTTGTTATTGCTGCGATTGAGATAGATACTTTATTACAATTTTAAATTCTTGAAATTTCTTCTTAAATTATGTGAATGGTTCAAACAAGTCTAAAGAAATTGAAGGAATTTGCATATTTTATTTTTTATTTTTTATTAAATATCTATCCCATAGTTGAATATTTTATATAAATACTTTCTAATTAATTAACTTATTGAAATTTAAAAAAAAGCCTGTAATTTTATCCATATTAAATATTGTTATTAAGATTTAAAAGATATTTAAAAATTACATTTACACAATTTTATACGATATAATAACATATGTCTCAAACGTTCTCAAACCAAAAGGCCAAGAACCGCATTTTTGCGCTTAATCGCGATAATTTGCTTAATCAATTAGAAATAATGAGAATGCACCAATTTGATTGATTGTTTCGAATCTGAATTGATCTGCTTTAAAAAGTTAAATCCGAATAATGCATATTTTGCCGACAAGTAAAAATGCATATCTACTTTGACTTAAGCGTTCACATAGAAACATCAGTTAGGATAAAATAAAAATTTTACAACATCAAGAGAACAGATATATGATTTTACACACACACATACGCACACAAACACGCACACACACACAACATACGTAAATTATATACGACAATCCAAAAATATATAAACATATACACCATTATATATATATATATATATATATATATATATATATATATATTAGTGTGTATATATATATATATATATGTATATATATATGTGTATATATATATATATATATATATATATATATTAGTGTGTATATATATATATATATTAGTGTGTATATATATATATATATTAGTGTGTATATATATATATATATATATATATGTATATATGTGTATATATACAGGTAGTCAAAAAGTATCGGACCCCCCCATATTTCCGTTCCCTTGCATTTTACAAGAAAATGTTTCAGAAAAAAGTTGTAGGGTTTAAAAAGATCTATTTACTGATCTTATCAGTTTGACCTTGGATGGCGTCGCCAAGGTCAGATCGAAATTACATTAACTTTTTTAAACGGAACACCTAACTTTTTATTGCATATTCTTGTAGCTTATCTCGAGACCTTTCCAAAACACTACAAGAAAGTTTATTTTCGTTGAGTACTTTCCGAGTTGTGAGGCTTGAAAGCTACAGTGTACTGTAGTGTGGGTCCAGCCAGTTAAGGCAAGAGTGGCGTGTGGGTCCGGCCAGTTAAGGCAAGTGTAGCGTGTGTCCAGCCAGTTAAGGCAAGAGTGGCGTGTGGGTCCAGCTGGCCGGACCTACACGCCACTCTTGCCTTAACTGGCTAAACCCACACTACAGTACACTGTAGCTTTCAAGCCTCACAACTCGGAAAGTACTCAATGAAAATAAACTTTCTTGTAGTGTTTTGGAAAGGTCTCGAGATAAGCTACAAGAATATGTAATAAAAAGTTAGGTGTTCCGTTTAAAAAAGTTAATGTAATTTCGATCTGACCTTGGCGACACCATCCAAGGTCAAACTGATAAGATCAGTAAATAGATCTTTTTAAACCCTACAACTTTTGTCTGAAACATTTTCTTGTAAAATGCAAGGGAACGGAAATATTGGGGGGATCCGATACTTTTTGACTACCCTGTATATATATATATATATACAGGGTAGGCCATTTTAATCTTTCCACTAAAATTTCTCAAAATCCAAAAATTTAAGACAAAAATGTTTCAGATAAAAGTTGTATGGTTTTAAGGGGGACATGAGATGGTGTCATTGATTTGACCTTGAATAGCCATTTGAAGGTTACGTGAAGGTCAACTTCAATTTCTTAAATGGAACACTATATTTTTTCTTGCATACTTTTGTAGCTGACTTCGAGATCTTTCCAAAACACTACAATAAAATATTTTTTCATGAAGTATTTTTCGAGTTATTAAGGCTGCAAATTTGCAGTATTTTGACATAAAATACAAAATATCTTGGGAAATATTCATTTTTCGATTATCATACCTTAATACTTTTATGCACAGAATAAATCAGTTGATGTAAAGAAAACACATAGTTACCTTTAAAAAAAAAATGAAACTTGCAATAAGCAGTTAGATAATTTTTCTTTAAGACAACTATGTGTTTTCTTTACACCAATTGATTCGTCTCATTATTCTGTGCATAAAAGTATTAAGGTATGATAATCGAAAAATGAATATTTCCCAAGATATTTTGTATTTTATGTCAAAATACTGCAAATTTGCAGCCTTAATAACTCGAAAAATACTTCATGAAAAAATATTTTATTGTAGTGTTTTGGAAAGATCTTGAAGTCAGCTACAAAAGTATGCAAGAAAAAATATAGTGTTCCATTTAAGAAATTGAAGTTGACCTTTACGTAACCTTCAAATGGCTATTCAAGGTCAAATCAATGACACCATCTCATGTCCCCCTTGAAACCATACAACTTTTATCTGAAACATTTTTGTCTTAAATTTTTGGATTTTGAGAAATTTTAGTGGAAAGATTAAAATGGCCTACCCTGTATATATATATATATATATGTATATATATATATATACAGGGTGTCCGGTAACTAACGGACCAATAATTAAGGGCGGATTCTCTGGCCAATTTGGAGACAATTTTTCCTTAGCAAAAAT